CGGGAGGCCTCCTCAGAGAAGGGTGAGGAATGGATCTGAGCCGCCCACCAAGGACTCCGCAGAGCCGAGGCGGGGTCGACCCCTCCCAGGGCGGGGTCGTGCGTGGGCAACCGCAGCCTACGGGGACCGACTGGGCGGGGCGCGCCCTCAAACGGGGAGAAGGGGTCAGCTGGGGGCTGAGGTCTCCCAGGCGGCGGGCAGCGGGCTGCGGGCATTGAGCGGAGGCCAGGGGTGGGGTCCTAGAGCCGGGACTCCGCTGACGGGCTGGGGAAGCCCCGGGGCCGGCAGATCCCTTCCGCCTCTCCTTTGGACCCTGACTGGAGGCCGGCGGGGTGGGGGGTGGGGAGGGAGAGCGGCGCGAGGGGGCGGGTCCCGGCGCTGCTCGGCGCTGATTGGCTGAGCGCGTGTGGAATCGGGTGATGGGAAACGCAGCCTGGCTCTCTGGTCCCCTCCTGCTCCTCTCCCTCCCCCCCGTGGCGAATGTGCTGCGCGGCGGCGAGTGCTTACGCTCGCGGGGTTTGGCTGTTGCAGGCAGGAGCTGGGAGGAGGCGGCAGCGGCAGCGGCAGGAGCAGCGGCGGCGGCGGCAGCAGCAGCTGGGAGGAGGTGGTGACGGTGGCAACGGCAGCGTCGGGGACGATGGCGCGACTGGTGGCAGTGTGCAGGGACGGGGAGGAGGAGTTTCCCTTCGAGAGGAGGCAGATTCCCCTCTACATAGACGACACCCTCACGGTGAGCGGGCCGGGCCGGGCCGGGCTCGCAGCTCTCCTGGCAGCTGTTTCCCCTCCTCCCCCTCCCCCAGGCCCAGCGCTGCGCACTGGAGAAAGAGTGTGTTGCAACTCCTAGGCGAGGCCTTCTCTCCGGCAGGCCCTACAAACTCGCCTTTGCAGTGGGTCGCTCGGTAACCTCTGCGGGCCCTTAAGCTAGCGCTCCATGCGCACTTTGAACCCCTCTCCCCAGATTTTCCTCCTCCTTTCAACCCTCTTCCTTTACCCTTTCCTATAGGAGACGGTGCTTTTGCCAAAGCACACGCCTCGGAGAGGGGTTGAAGGATCTTGGGCGTTTAGGGCCTATCCCTTACAGAAACCACCCACCCTCGGGGAGGCTTAATTATCTGGAAATGTCGCAGCTGCACTGCTACCTGTGTATTTTCTATCTTAATACTACAGCTCTCACTCCATAAGCATAATTAAGGGGGCCGAGTGACATGCTCGTGCATGGTAAAGATTCCACTGAAATGATTTGATTTCGTTGTAAGTAGTCTCATATCTTTACGTTAAAACTCTTCGAAATGAATGTGTTGCTAGGCCATGACTCTTCAAAATGGGCTTTCTTGGTATGTTATTCTTTATAGGTAGCCTTTTCCCCCTTTTTTAAGGAAGCAAAATTATTGCATGTGTTAGAGTATTATAAAAAGCTGATTGTTCATCTTGAGTGTCAAAACCCAGTTCTGAGTAGGTTTTCTTTTCGGAGTTGGTGGTAGTATATAGCATTACAGACCCTCTACCCTGTGTTGCTGTACTATTTCCTTTGAAAGGAAATGGCAGAAATTTGAATTGAATCTGAACAGGAAATGAGTGCAGTTGCTTGCCACAATTTCTTAAGAAATGAAATGAACCTTTTCTGAATGTCCTGAAATCTACATTTTGATGATGCTGAAGCTTTGGACTGTACATTTGCCTGTTTTTTGATAAGGTGTAATTGTCTCTTCATTTTACCTCCTTCGGCTTTTTTCCTTTTCAAAGGCAGTTGACCTGTTTTGTTCCTGAATTTCTTTTTTGCAAATATCTACTGAACTTTTAAAAATTTTATATAAAATGCAAGTCATTGTGGAGATGTCACTCTATGCCTTTCTGTTTGCCAGTCTCAATTAAGACTTGATTGAGGTGCAGTATTTTTAAAGGATTAGAAGAGCTATTGAATGACTTAATGTGTTAGAACTTTTTAAGTGAAGACATCCATGATTACCCAAGTGCATTTTTTTCTCATGAAAAAAGGTAAAATGATTTGGCCTCACGTTAAGGTAAATGAAATTTGTGTTGATATATTGGAAAGTGTACTTGTATGCCTTGGTCATGATTTCTGCACTTATTGCATTAAAAGTATAATGGACTTGTATTTATGTGGTTAAAAAAAAAGAATAGCACTCTAATCAGATTAAATGATGAACTTTTTAATTTGAAAACTAATATCAGTTCATTTGTTGATGTTTTCTTTCTTCTCTCCCCCTTCAACGCAAACACTTCTAGAGCACATAGTTTGGTATCAACCTTTTATGTTTATTGTTCCAGGGTGCTTTTGAAGTTTAAAAAAAATTCTGTGTGTTTGGACATAAAAGACACTGATCCTCTCTTCATGCTCACATAATCGCCTTTGATGTGAATGTAGCGTTGATACATCTGTCATATAGCACGTTAAAATACCCAAGTTTTGGGAGTGTTTTAATACTCTGTTCTCTGTACAAAGATATGAATTTCCAAAACTTTCCGTAGAAAAAGATTTCCTTGCACTGTGATTTATCATTGTACTTATTTCTCTAGAGAAGTTGGGATTGGACTGACCTGGTCGTTGAGTTTTGCTTTTGTTGTGTTGTGGACTTGTGACCTAGGCAAATAAAATTTAAGCTTACTTTAACTATCTTAAAATAGCATTTTATTTAGGAAAGGATGCAGTTTTTATTTACTGTGGAAGGGTTTTTATCATTAGGGATTAAGTGGGACCTTTTACTGCTTTATTTTGTAACATCGACACAGCCATTGAATGCTGGTTAGTGAAATTTTGTCAGGAATGCATCATGTTTGGGGAGACAAGTTTCTTTCAGAACCATGCTACCAAACTGTACTTAAAGGAAGAATGCAGAGCAAACACCTGTTGGGGAATAGAGAGGGAAGATGCCTGTAGCAGAAGATTGTGCTCTGCACTGGTCCGTTGGTAGATTGATGGCATTGTGTCCCTGAAGTTAACGTTCGGTTTGGTCTTTGTTCCTAGGGTCCATAGGTAATACACCGAGGAAACACTGTGATCTTTATTTCAAGTAGTCTTAGAATCTTGTTGGCTCCTAGATGTTAAGTCTAGTTACAATGTTTACAATCAGTTACAAAGATTTACTGTTTTTTGTAACAGAAGTTGAAACCCCTCTCCTTATTAAACTGGCTATTTTAAGTTGAATTTGTAAAATGAAATCAAGCTTGTATGTGAGGAAGTAGCCTCCTCTTTTATGTGGTGTGTTGTAGCCACATTCAGAAGGCTCATGTGGTAGTTCAGTGGGTTTGAAATCTTGGGTACAGTGCTGATGTAGGTTTATTTGAGAAAATCTCAAATAAGTAAACTGGTGGAATATTTAGGAAAGTGGTATGCTATGTAGCCAAAATACTTTTCAGTGTCATTAGAATTATAGGATAGCACATAGACAGAATACAGATTTTATTTTAGAGACATCTTTGTAAAATTACAATGTTTAAAGTTTTTTAAAAAGGAATTAATAGAGCCAAGATATATACTCCTTATAAAATGATATTTAAAAGTAACTGTGTGGCGGTAGGGTGTAGCTCAGTGGTAAAGTGCCTGCCTAGCATGCACAAAGTCCTGGGTTCAATCCCCAGTACCGCCATTAAAATAAATAAACCTAATTACCACCCTCTACCCCCCACCAAATAACTGCAAAACAAATTATCCTTTATCCTACTTCCCAGAGGTGACTAAGGATGTAGCAGCATTTGGTGTAGTTCCATCATAGAGACACACAGGTGCAGAATTGAGATGTATTGTCTTCTGTAACATTTTATATCTTGCTTTTTTTTTTTTCACTAAATGTAATATTGAGAACATTTTCTCTAGTCATTTAAAACAGCTTTAATGGCCATGGAATACTTTGTTGTGTGACATACCATAATGTAATCATTCTTCCTTTGTTGAACATAGAGGTGATTCTAGTTTTTGCTATGAATAATACTCTAAGGATATGAATAATATGTAAATCTTTGCATTGAAAATTTTTTCAGGCCTTTGAAAGTGAAACTACTGGTTCAAAGGATAAAAACCTTTTATAAAGTTCTTGATACATACTGTCAAATTGTTACAATATTTCTGGAACACGGTTTACCCTCCTAATTCAAACCAATCTAAATAGTCTAGAGACTGATGAGGTTTTTAACTGAGACTTACAAAAGATTTAAAAATGTAGCATATCCGGATACTTGAGGATTAGGTATTTAGCATTTGTTAAAATTTTAATATTTATGGTTTGCTTTCAACTCCTAATTAAATATTTAAATAATTTACCAAAGATGATAGATGTTACAAAGAGCTGTGAGGATGAAGAAGTAAAAAAGTAAAACTAAAGGAGCAATGATTTTTAGTAAATACAAACAATATTGGGTTAGAGCTTGTGAGGATGCACTAAGAATAGATTATTTGTGGTCAGGAGAAACCAGGACAGATACTTAAGAGTGAAAGTGGGTAATGAATTCAATAAACTTTATGAAACAGTAATTGCAGGACAATGACTCGTTCTATTTTTGGCTAGCTAGGGATAGGCAACCTCATCGTGAAGCCAGACACTAATGATTCCTCTGTGACACCACACCTGAAATACATGACTGTCTTCCTTTAGGTAACCTAGAATCTGAAGATTAAGTCAAGGAAGTGGTTTTA